AAAGAGTTAAAAAGCTTTTATTTTTGTGGGAAAAATCAGGAGAATTTAAGTCTAAACAAAAATGACAGAAATAATCTGAGCAACTTGTCATTTTTATTTCTGTAGAGCTTTTTACCATACATTTTTTAATAAACAGTTATAAATTATACTTATGCATTAAATCAGTGATATTAAAAGGACAAATTTACTATAACTTAATACAGTTGAAGTCAGAATTATTACACCCCACCATGAATTATTAGACAGCTTGTTTATTTTTCCTAAATTTCTGTTTAACAGAGAGCAGATGTTGTCAACACATTTCTAATCATAACAGTGTTAATAACTCATCTCTAATAACTGATTTATTTTATCTTTGTCATGATGACAGTAAATAATATTAGATTAGATATACTTCAAGACACTTCTATACAGCTTAAAGTGATATTTAAAGGCTTCACTAGGGTAATTAGGGTAACTAGGCAGGTTAGGGTAATTAGGCAAGTCATTGTATCATGATGGTTTGTTCTGTAAATTATCTAGAAAAATTATAGCTTAAAGGGGCTTATAATATTGTCCCTAAAATGGTGTTTAAAAAATTCGAAACTGCTTTTATTCTAGCCAAAATGAAACTAATAAGACTTTCTCCAGAAGAAAAATATTATCAGACATACTGTGAAAATTTCCTTGCTCTGTTAAACATCATTTAAAATATATATATAAAAGAAATTCGAAGGGGACTAATAATTCTGACTTTAACTGTATATCTTATTACTGATGTTATACAAACTATACAGGCAAGCCAACATGAAGTTGCAAAGCATTATATAAGGCATGTTAATTTTTTATTTATTAATTTTTTTTTTGCTGTAGAACACACATTATAAAGAAATAGTGCAAAAAGGGAGTGATATCAAAATACCAAATACAGTGTGCATTTTACGTAGAAAATTTTTCAATCTGATATCTAAGGCATATTTAAAAAGCTTTTATTTTTGTGGAAAAATCAGGAGAATTTAAGTCTAAACAAAAATGACAGAAATAATCTGAGCAACTTGTCATCTTTATTTCTGTAGAGCTTGTCACCATACAGGTTTTTTAATAAACCGTAATAAATTATACTTATGCATTAAGACAGTGATAATAAAAGGAAAAATTTACTATAACTTAATACAGTATGGGATATTTTGATATTTGATTGAATTAATTTGTAATAACTCACAATTTGTCATCTGAAACGTACAAAAAGTATACTCTAGAACAGGTGTGTCCTGAAGGGCCGGTGTCCTGCATAATTTACTTCCAACCCCAGTTAACCTTATCAAGCTCTTTCCAGGTATACTAGAAACTTCCTGGCAGGTGTGTTAAAGGACGTTGGAGCTAAACTGTGCAGGACACCGGCCCTCCATGACCGAGTTTGGACATCCCTGCTCTCCTGCTCTAGAAGAAAAATTCTGATAAAATAAAAAATAAAATAAAATGATTAATTTAGCTAGGTACAAGACTAGAATTACACTTAATGTTCAAATTGTAGAAACAGTCCCTCTAAGGAGTCAGTGTTTTTTCTATTAGTTTCCTATGTATAAGAGCTGATATCAACAGAACAGGGTCTTAACATGATTCCAGGTCTTGTAAAAAGAGTTGAGAGATCCTGCAAGTAAACATCTCAACTTCTTATGTTTTATGCAGCTAAACGTTTATGATAAAAACATGATAAAATCACTCAGTTGTTTAACAGTCACAGCACTTAGCGAGAGAGACTTTGTGGTTAAAACGAGATGCTGTGCTGTGTTCAGCTGCTGCTTGCCTGTCAATTGCAAACCTCAGACCGCTTAAACCGGAAGATGCTGACTGACTTCGAAAACAGTTTCAAACTATATCAAACTAGTTATGCTTTTGTTGGAAATATTATTCTTGCAATGTCCAAATTAGATGTAGTTTACATTGAAATGTCACAATTAAACATTCATCTCAATACTAATAATTAAAGTAAGATGTTTTTTTAATAATCTTACAAAACACAAAGAAATGAATTACCAACAAGTAAACAAATAAATAAAAGCATATAAAATAATATGAGGGTTGCAGCTGGAAGGGCATCCGCTGCGTAAAACATATACGGGAATAGTTGGCGGTTCATTCCGCTGTGGCAACCCCTAATAAATAAGGGACTAAGCTAAAAGAAAAGTTAATGAATAAATATATATATATATATATATATATATATATATATATATATATATATATATAAATAGCTGTAATAATATTTACCTTTACCTGTTAACTTTTTACTATGTTCCGTAACAGACGTGAAGTATCAAAGTTCAAGTCACATTTCCACATGCTGACGTAAATGATTAGCATCTTTTAGACACAGTAATGTCCGAATTACCACAGCAGTGATCTACACTTGTAATGAATCGGGTGAACCATTCGTAAAAGGAGTCATTTACTTCCTTGGATGAATCAACATGTGAGTGCAACAAATTATGACAGATATAATCAAAAAATACAGAGACATTCATCAAATTATCGTCTATGTTGCATTGTTTATGTTTTAGTTTAGGACATTGTTGATGAAAATGCATTTAATACAATATATATATATATATATATATATATTTAAAGAGCTGAAGTCAGAATTATTAGCCCCCTTTTTATTTTCTTCCCCAATTTCTGTTTGATGGAAAGCAGATTTATTCTAAACATAATAGTTTTAATAACTCATCTCTAATAACTGATTTATTTTCTCTTTGTCATGATGACAGTAAATAATATTAGACTAGATATTCTTCAAGACACTTCTATACAGCTTAAACAGACATTTAAATGCTCAACTAGGGTAATTAGGGTAACTAGGCAGGTTAGGGTAATTAGGCAAGTTATAGTATAATGATGGTTTGTTCTGTAGACTATCGAAAATATATATAGCTTAAGAGGCCTAATAATTTTGTCCTTAAAATGGTGTTTAAAAAATTAAAACTGCTTTTATTCCAGCTGAAATTAAACAAATAAGACTTTCTCCAGAAGAAAAAAATGTTATCAGACATACTGTGAAAATTTCCTGAATCTGTTCAACATTATTTGGAAAATATTTGAAAAAGAAAAAAAATTAAAAGGGGGGCAAATAATTCTAATGATTGCAGCATGAGGTGTTCAATCAGGTTTAGATCAGGACTCTGGGCTGCCACTTCATTATTTGAATGTTTAGCTGCTTTATAGGTTTCAGAGAAAAAAAAAATTTATTGATGCATCTCGATTCTATCTCTTACCATTCAGAACTGACTCTCAATTGTTCAGAAGGGGTTCTGTATTTAAATTAGCTCATGTATGTATGCTGTCAAATTCACTTCATTTGGATAAAGATGGACAAACTTAAGAATTTTAAGCACTGCACTTCTCGATTTTGCTTTGAAGACATATCTTTGATAAAAGATTATAAACAAACAAACAAACAAAAGTAATACTGTCTTTTGGATTAAGAACGGATTCGTCTTTATAGCTCTTTGTAATCTGTCATTTCAAAGCTACGTTCAGAGCTTGTCGTCTTAAATATAACAGACATTGTTAATAAAATAAGGCAAGGCAAGTTTATTTATATAGCACATTTCATACACAGTGGCAATACAAAGTGCTTTACATAAACAGGAATAAAAAAAGACATGTTTAGGACATAAAATGCAGACAATAAAAATGATTAAAAACAGATAAAAACAATTTAAAATGTGTTAAAATAGGTTATAAAAGAATGAAAAAGAAAACGAAAAACATGATAGTGCAATCTGTCGGACGCAGCACAGTGCTCATACAGTAAAGGCGCAGCTAAACAGATGTGTGTTCAGTCTTGATTTGAATGTGCCTAATGTTGGAGCACATCTGATCATTTCTGGAAGCTGATTCCAGCAGCGGGGGGCGCAGTGGCTGAAGGCAGATTCACCCTGCTTTGACTGAACTCTTGGAATTTCTAGTTTATATGATCCTAAAGATCTGAGTGATCTGTTGGGTTTGTATTCAGTGAGCATATCTGTAATGTATTGAGGTCCTAGGCCATTTAGTGATTTACAGACCAGTAATAATAATTTAAAATCTATTCTGAATGTAACTGGCAGCCAGTGTAGAGACCTGAGGACAGGTGTGATGTGCTCTGATTTCCTGCTTCTGGTCAGAATCCTGGCTGCAGTATTAAATAAATAATTTTATAAATCCTATACAAATTTCAACAAAAAAAAAAAAATATATAAAAACTCCAATAAAAAGAAAACCAGCACAGAAACTCCAATAAAAAGAAAACCAGCATAGAAACTCCAATAAAAAGAAAACCAGCATAGAAACTCCAATAAAAAGAAAACCAGCACAGAAACTCCAATAAAAAGAAAAACCTGCACAGAAACTCCAATAAAAAGAAAAACCAGCACAGAAACTCCAATAAAAAGAAAACCAGCACAGAAACTCCAATAAAAAGAAAACCAGCACAGAAACTCCAATAAAAAGAAAACCAGCACAGAAACTCCAATAAAAAGAAAACCAGCATAGAAACTCCAATAAAAAGAAAACCAGCACAGAAACTCCAATAAAAAGAAAACCAGCACAGAAACTCCAATAAAAAGAAAAACCAGCACAGAAACTCCAATAAAAAGAAAAACCAGCACAGAAACTCCAATAAAAAGAAAACCAGCATAGAAACTCCAATAAAAAGAAAACCAGCACAGAAACTCCAATAAAAAGAAAACCAGCACAGAAACTCCAATAAAAAGAAAAACCAGCACAGAAACTCCAATAAAAAGAAAACCAGCATAGAAACTCCAATAAAAAGAAAACCAGCACAGAAACTCCAATAAAAAGAAAAACCAGCACAGAAACTCCAATAAAAAGAAAACCAGCACAGAAACTCCAATAAAAAGAAAACCAGCACAGAAACTCCAATAAAAAGAAAACCAGCACAGAAATGTTGTGGAAAGTTGCGCTGGATCTCGACAAACATCTTCTAAGTTTCAAAAAAGAGGCTGAGGTCTTCAAAGTTGTCAAGTTGAAGCAGTTTATTGTTACAGTAGAGTTGGTCGATCGATCTCTCTCCTACAAATGTTCCAAAACCCACAGTTTATATACACGTTTTTCCTATAGTCATCATGAAACAGTGGTGTAGCATGAGCATCACGTTATTTCCAGGCTCCAATAGGATTCTAGCCTTTATATTGATGGCTGTATGTTTTTCTGTTTTTGCACATCTTAAAGGTCATATTTCAACACTTTTTAAATGATTCTCCCTATGCATGCTATTGCCATGCAGGTTGAGCAAAGTTGTTTTTAAGTTGTTTTTGTCATGGTCAATACATCAATACATGTTGCATATGCTGTCTGAATGGTCTTACTTCACCGCTGTTTACTTCTGTGTGTTTTGCTCTGCATCACTTGAATGTATTTCTATATGTTTTAACAGTGTATTTTAATAGTGGCAGATTATACAGTGATTATATAGTGATTACATAATAAAAGTTCCTCTATAATTCTCCTAAATAAATCCCCCCTTAGGGACTTAATCAAAAAAGTCCCTTTCCTAAATCCCTCGCTGAAGTGCAACTTAAGAATCCAACACTTGCAAAGTCTTAACATACTTGTGCAACCAAAAAGTTGCCCATCTACATCCTTATCAATTGTCAGCATCCTTCCTCCGCACTTCAGAGGAGAAACAGAACCAAACATCTCCCTCTACTTTTGACTTTAGAGGGAGTAAAAGATCCCGCTCTCCCTAACTGAATACTTTCTTTGGGGGAGTTCAACACACAATAATCATTAGACAGGTTAAAAACATATGCTTGTCAGCCTTGCTCACAGTTGTGCGTATACTGCATATATACTTGATTAATCATCGTTTAATAGAAATCATATAGTTGTAGAATATTCTCGGCGCCTGTAAAAGAGCCATATCTGATGTTTTATCCCACGTCGCCAGAGGTACTTCTGAGTACTGTCTGGTGTTGGAGCAGACAGTGGGTTTTTAAACCGCCAGTAGAGTCTGCTCTTCTGCATCTCCTGCCATTGGATACCAAGGTGTCCCTTGACCGTAATCATCTTCCCTTTTTCCCCGTGTACATCTGATATGAGCTCCGGCAGCTTCGATGAACTCCTAAATACATACAGAAATGTATACTAGTAAATAGGGCTTAAATAATCACACAATTTTTAGTTTTTAGTCCACTCTGTTAGTTTTTTTTTTTTTTTTTTTACTTGTATTATGGATGGTGCCTTGCTTAAAACTCTCATCCATTAAAAATTAGTAAAATGTTAGAAGTCCCAAAAAAATTAAAAGACAAAAAAGAAATTTTAAGTAGAAATTGTTTTTTTTTTTTTTTTTTTTTTAAACTCATCCAACTGATCCAAATCTGGCCCAAAGACTTCATAGACATGGTCTCTGCAGTCATGCACAATTCTATTAACTTGCACATTGGCCATCTGCTTGACAGCAGCTTTACTCAGCATCAATCTGAGAAAAGGCACAACACAACAAAAGAGAAGGACAAAAACAAGTAGAGCAATTCCTCATATTTCAATCTTGAGCAATTATTGTCTCCAGGATCCAAATACAGAAGCAAACCAATCACTTAAGTTCTTATCCGCTCCAGCATTTTCTTTTACTTCTTTTCTCAGGTTTTCCAATTTCCGCATAGCTTCCATGAAAGATCCACTTGGGGCATTATTATTTGGATATAGGTGCAGCAAATGGTGCACTGTTTTGACAAGCAATTTTACTTGTCAGAGCCAATTGTTCTCCTAATGCTGTAAGGGCATCATTTGTGTAATTTATAAATCTTTGTTGGTTGTAATAAATGTAGTTAGCCCATACTTAAATTTTTCCCATTGCAATTATACACACTACTATAACCTCGAGTCCTGCTTTTACTATATTTCTAACTTTAAACGTATTTGGTATTCCACTAGGCTGGCCAATTGTATCTATGTAAACTTCTGAGTCATGTGTATATTGTCTCTTAACTTGATGCTTATAATTCTGCTGCTTTCAATTCTTAGGTCTTTGTATGTCATCTTACTCTTTAACCCAATCATTTTATCACTTTCTCTATTAGTTTAACTCTAGTGCAAATCCCTTTCCAATTCAATGGAATATTGGGGCATAATACTCCTGATCCACAGATCCAGTAATAGTGTACTATTTGTATATATTCTTGTATTAAGGGAAATTATCTTGCGAATTGTACATTGTCCAGTACAAATACCAAGTGTGCGGTTAACTGCCTTATCGCTTTTTTTTCATAATTGCAGCTTCAGAAACTGGCAACATTATACTCTTTATTGTAGCTGTAGCCATTTGGAAGGTTTGCATATAAGCATTTTCTTTTTTCCTACATTTCCTTATTCAAATGCCAAATTATTGCACAATTTCCTTTAAATTTTTCTAAATTTTCTGATCCTCTCGTTTGATTATAACATTCATATTCTAATTTCTTATTTATTACATATTTTATTGGGATCACTCTTACTGCTGGTTGAACTCTGATGTTCATTTCTTTACAGTCTTTTTTCAACCTATTATTGTTTTCTAATGTAAATTTGAAGTTTCCTATTATATCAAGACATTCAGCAGGGCAAAACAGTGAGTCACTGTTTGGTATATTGCAGTTATTTTCCTGAATTTTGCACAATGTCTATAATCATAAAGATTTACAACCACTATAAGCTTTTTAAAGGGTATTAGAAAACATATTGGGCAATTAGACATTTGTAATTTTCCAACTGTGTATTTGTCCAACGATACCAATCACTGTTATTAGTTTCTTCTAAGAGTTCATAATCTGAGATCTGGTCAGTCAATTTCCACATAAATCACATATGTATCAGTTTGATTAAAGCATATCCTCTGGGTCGGCATTTGTCTTTAGATGATTGTTCTTTACATTCATTTTGCTGTGGGATCTTTGCCTCTTTCCAAAAAATTAAGAAGACAATTGTTTGATACTCTTGTCCAACTCTGTCAGATTGAGATAATCCTTTACCTTTGGAGAAGTTACCTCTAGGCTTTCACTCATCTTTATTTGCATCATCAGCAGCAGCAACAGCAGGAACATCTTCCAAAACAGTTTCCTTCTGTCAGTCCCTGTTCTGTTCCTGTAAATAAATAACTTCATACATGGCAGTTAGTTTTTCTTATTCGACAAAAATACTTATGTGCAATTAGTGTTCCATGCAGTGTTCCTGTTTCTGTTAGTTTACATAAAAACTCATTAAAGCATCAGTTTACACTTTAGTCCAGTTTACCAATCCAAACTCAATCAGGTTTACTATTTTTACGTTTTTCAAAAAAGTTATGGCCTTAATAAATCTTCTTGGTGCCTTTGACCAGTTGTTGTGATTGTTCTTGATAAACTTCACTCTAGCCTTTGATTCATTCTTAATTAACAGTACTTCTTTAACTGTTTTATTTATTTATTTGATTATTTATTTAATCACTTATTTACTTATTTAGCTATTTTTAATTTACTTAATTTACTCTAAATTTATTAATGCACAATCATTATTTGAAATTATTTCTGATGATAGTCCAAATCTAAGAATGGATGTTTTTATTCATGAGAAATATAGTTAATCATCACAACCAGATTTTAATCCCAACCTGTTAAGTAGTACAAACATGTATTTCTTGCCTTGTACTCGTTTTAATATAACCTCAAACCCTCATTACTAAATGCTTAAAAGTCACTTCAGGTACTGCTCGCTGTTCCTTTCCTCACATTATATTTACCATAGATGTCACATGGACAAAACTCACTAAGTACTGCATTCGAATAAGGATACCAATCTCCTTGCTGTTTAAGTTTTCCTAATACTTCACCCTTGATCAAATTTATGTGCATCGGCAATAAGTATACTTGGAGATGCTGTTGGCACAACAATTAGTCTTTTATGTATATAGGCTATTTCCCCCCTTTCATGCTAGATTGTTCACAGAGACTTTTTTGTTGTTTAATTTTCACAATTTTCTTCAATTGAGATTGTTGCTCTATAAGCACTATAGATGACTTGCTACCTCATATTCTGTCACTTGTTTAACTTTCAAATCTGTATTGTTTCCTTTAATGATAAACTAATTTTTCTTTCATCATCTCAAATGCCTTTATTAAATCTGTGTTTCCTGTTCATTTAGGGCCTTATTTTTGCAGTCTTTCCTGTTTCATAAATTTTCTTTAGTGCAGTTTGTTGTTAAATTCTCTGTTCCATCAATGCTAAATTTCAGTCATCCCTAAAAGTCATCATGGGTTTTCTGTCTTTTAATTGAGCTAGAGCTATATGGAGCTGCTGATATTTAAATCAACTATATAGTGTAACTATAGTGTAATAGTGTAAAGATAGTGTAACACACTACTGTTCATCATAAGATCTTCAGACTTTGTGTATGTATAATTTTCAGCAGCAAATGAAAATACTAATTGGTACCTATCCTCTTTTGCTAATTACCTAAACTTGGCTAAAAAGAAACTAGTTATCAACAATATTTGACATCAGGAGGAACATTTGTTCATAAAATGTAGGAACTTCAGTTGACAAATTTTCTCTCATTGATTTTTCTTATATCTTCTGCTTTTTACCTGCTTTGATGCAGCATAATTAAAGTATTTATTCAATTTAAATTCAAATCTTAATAATTACATACACTGTCATACCTGAATTGAAATATAATCTAAATAGAAATATCCAACGACCTATGTATTGCATATTATAATCACTAGGTGTTAATACTCCCACTCTTAATAAAACTTCAATTTTGTTTTTTATACCTATTTCCGCTTTTTTTCTTCTTTTCTCTGCAGATGTGCATTTAGTTTAATTTTAAACCTCACTGTACTGGTTAATTTTCTAATTCTAAATCCAAGTCCTGCAATGATAATATTTCTTTTAGTATTAACTGTACTTCTTTAAATCATTTTGAACTATTAGTTCATTTGAATGTTGCATTTATTTATTTTTTCTCTAAACTTCTCTCTATTAATATTTACTTTCTAAGGCAACCCATCGACTTGATTGTATACACATCTTTCATGTAATTTTAGTTAACTGAAAAATCATTTAATGTTTTTGTTCTGTTTTGCTTTACTCTTTAGTCCTCAAATTTAGTTTCCATTTTTTACTTGTATGGATATATTAAACAAAATCTATTACATTAAACCCCTTTTTTTCCCCAAATCATCTCTTACTACACTTAGAGCTTTTCACTGTTGACCTTTTTTCTTGTGCTGTTCTTTTTCCTTCAATTTCTTTCTGATAATAATTTTCTAAGTCTAAATCTCTTTTAAAATTATAAATTTGCATAGACAAATTCTTCTTTTTACTAGCCCTGCTTCAGAAATGCTTTAACTCAATCTATTTTCCCATTATCAATTGTCTTAATTACATCTTCTATCCGTTTTAATTAATAGATATTATCTTTTTATTTCATAATCCTTATTTAATTCAAATTTCTTTTACTAAATGTAAAGTCCTATTTTATAAAATTACTTTCTAACTAATCAATTGACAGGAGTCTGATTTGATACAAGAAAGGCTACACTTTTGTTTTAATTTGCAACATACTTGATTTGGATCATAGTTCTACTGGGCTTTTGAGATTGAGTTTGCTAGGCCATAGCCAATCTCTCTCCCTCGCACCCCAAGGCAACTGTTCCACAGATGGTGCAGTCTTTGCATTGTTGTATTCAGGAATCCCCACATTTCCTGCTTATTTAAGGAGTTAAAGTGTTGAGCATTTCTCCTCCCTCTTGGTGCTGGCTTCACTTTCACCCAGCTGATGTTGCTGGAAAGTTTAGCTTTTTGATCAGTTCATCAGTCTTTTGTTTCTCCTTCTTTAAGTGTCTTTTGAACATATGTCGATGGGTCAAGTCTCAGTAGCTCTCTGTATGCAGTGCCTGGCTCACTGCTTTAGTTCATGTGATAAGAGTCCACAGTCAACAAGTTGCTCCTTGTGTTTCTCAAAACACCTTAATCTATTTCCCAATGCCTTCAGGGATGTCAGGCAGGCGAAAAGGCTAGGACCCTTCAAAGTCCATCTCCTTGCCCCTTAATTTAATATAACAATTTGCTTAGTTAATAATCTAAGCATTTTTCCACTTTCCCATTTTTCCTTCATCAAATAAAGACTCCTCTCATCTATGTTCTTCTATTTGCTGTCCAATAGTAAATTCTTCTTAATATTTATTACTAAGTCTACTGTATCTTTTGCTAATTTTCCGTTTCTTTTATTTTCTTCTAATTCCTTTCTTTCGCTTCAGCTTGTTTTTTTTCCCTAATCTATTCTAGTGTTTTCCCACTAGTTGGCCTTTCTTTACATTGTTTGAATTTCTCTAACATTTTCTAAATCTGTTTCAATTCTATAGTACATTTTCTCACTCTTTTTTTACACACTCATCTCTTTAGTTTTAACCTTTCCCTACTTGCTTTTAATCCATTTTAAGTTCTTTTGCTACTTCCATAATTTCCCTCTGTATTGGTCATTGACCCATTGTCCTCTCTCTCTCTCTCTCTCTCTCTCTCTCTCTCTCTCACACACTGCTTACATCAAATGTTCCTTCCTTTTGCCATTATTTTCTGTTCTGTTCTCTCTTAGTTGAGTATTTAAATATAAATTATTCATATCTTATATATATATATTTTTAATCCTAATTCTAATATTTTCTATGATGTGTTATTCCCCTCTGTTCATAAATGTTTACTTTTTTAATTATTACTTTATACTTTTATATAACACATAATCTTTTTCCAAATTGTATTTACTTTATCCTATTTATCTTATACTATTTTGTAATATACACTTTTACACCTCACTAATATTAAATCAGATGCTATTATTCCCTAAATTAAATTATATTCTAAGAACTTAAATTATGATCTCTTTGTATGCACATGTCAACTTATGTTATATACTTCTCTTTAGTTTAATATATTTCTTTATATCTTTCTATTTGAACAAAATTTATTTATTTCCTAAATATTATAATCTCTTCCTTAAACTGTATCAGTCTATTCTATATTTTTCCAATATATATCATATACCTCTTCTATATCACACAATATTTGCAGTCCATCTTTATACTATATTCTACAATGATGATTATTTTATTTCACTATTTATCACAAACAAACTACTAAACACAAACAGTTAAACACACTCTCACATTCTAGTCCTTCACATTTAGAGGACTCATTCACTCAACATTTGTCCCTTTATATCTACAGGGCTCATTCAGTCATTCATTCCTCTCAGTGTAACACAGAGAGCGTCCAACTCTGCCATGCTCTATTTAAGGGATGGTGCAGGAGGGCGGCTCTGCTTGTCCACTAATATGGAATTTTACACAACCATTCACACAAACACAGACACACACAATACTAAAGCGATAACTATAGGAATTTCCTTGTGCACATCTCTATAATCCAATCTGCTTTTAATCTCTTAACTGTCACCACACATTCAGAACTCACTCTTGAAATATATCTGTTCTATGTATATCATCATTAAATAACTTCCCAAATCTGAGTAACAGTTACTAGTTAACGTCTGTCGCTATCAAGGCCTCTTAACAAACAGACACAGATCATTTGCATGCAAACTATTCTTTTTTATCTAGAATTCAAACCTCCCTTCATTACTTTTATTTATTTTAATTTGGGGGAACAGTTAAAGTGTCTTTACCATCACAAGCAGGTCCTGGGAGACAAACCAAACTTTTTTTTTACATGCAAAACTGCTTTTCTTAATTGTTGTGGCCACTTTGTTTGCTTTGTCCCTCCAGCACAGCATGTGCAATTTTTATTCATTCTCTAATCAATTCATATTTTTATCTATATTTTATTCTCTTAATAATAATACTAACTTTCTCTCACACTACACCTTTAGAAATTTCTCTCTAACACTCAACATCCTTAAGCACACACCCTACTCATGCTTTAAATTCAATTCTCTCATCACATGCATCCTCATTCACAGATTTCGCATTATATGCTTTCTTATTTAATCCTCTTTTCTAGGAATTGTAAGAAAAAATTTCCCCATTCACTTTGGTCCAGACCCACATAAAACACAACATATAGACTAACAAGACTTACACAGGTCAGTTCACTGAGATCCAGCCCTCCCTATAGGTGCTTTTGGAATCAGATTAAAGGCCTCCTCCCAATTTCCCTGCCCCTATCGGGAGAGTCTTACTCAATCCACAGGCGGGTACAGAGACGCGGAGCGCTCCTTTTCTCTGATTACATCTATAAAGAGCGACCCCTAGCGCTGCCTCCGCGCGTTCCGCTCACGCCTCTCGCGTAGCAATTCATGCATGTACCTCTCTTTCATACGCATATATTTACAGCCATTTGTTAGTATATAATACAAAGCTATTAGTTAGTGCATAATTTACAGCCATTTGTTAGTACAATCACATACCTTGACAACCTGAAAGACCTCTTTTTCTTATAAATAGTTCACTTCACTATACTTTTATTACTTTATCATTTACTTTATCGTTCTTTTAATAAATGTAGCCAATTCAAAGGTTCTTTTTAATGGTGAGGTATTTTTTATTGTCAAGTTCAGGCGTCTGGTCCACCCCACAGTACACTCATCAGAGAACCAAAATAAAGCAAAAATTTGCTCACCTTTTTTAATCTGTGCGCTTTTTGGTCTCTGCGTGAGTGTCTGCCAAGGATCGGCCCTATTGACACCTTCTTTCGACCACCCTCAATCCAGCCCCACGTTGGGCGCCAAATTATGTTGTGGAAAGTTGCGCTGGATCTCGACAAACATCTTCTAAGTTTCAAAAAAGAGGCTGAGGTCTTCAAAGTTGTCAAGTTGAAGCAGTTTATTGTTACAGTAGAGTTGGTCGATCGATCTCTCTCCTACAAATGTTCCAAAACCCACAGTTTATATACACGTTTTTCCTATAGTCATCATGAAACAGTGGTGTAGCATGAGCATCACGTTATTTCCAGGCTCCAATAGGATTCTAGCCTTTATATTGATGGCTGTATGTTTTTCTGTTTTTGCACATCTTAAAGGTCATATTTCAACACTTTTTAAATGATTCTCCCTATGCATGCTATTGCCATGCAGGTTGAGCAAAGTTGTTTTTAAGTTGTTTTTGTCATGGTCAATACATCAATACGTGTTGCATATGCTGTCTGAATGGT